AAAAAGGGATGAGTACTCTTTTTTTTTTTTAAGATGGTCTAACTGTGTCACCCAGGCTGGAGTATAGTGGTGCTATCTCAGCTCCCAGCTCAGGCCATCCCCAGAGACCTTCCTATATTTCAGCCTGAGGCAAGACCAGTGGGGGATGATGAGAGCAGGAACTCCAGATGGGTTGAAAAGGACACCAGTATCGGAGAAACAAGGCACTAGCCTCACTTCTAATTTGGAACCCTGCAAATTATGACCACATGATAGCGCAGAAGAAATAGAGATAAACCGTGTTTTGGCACAGAAATGATCTGAGATTACAGACATGCACAACAGAATTTCCTTTTGACTCCCATATGTCATAAGAGGTACATCAGTTGAGAGCCAGTGGGGCTTGTGATGGGATCATAGGGTGAGTATGGTTACTGCGTATCAGCAGCTGTAAGATAAAAGCCCAGCCTACGGCTGGATGGAGATGGCAGAATAGTAAAAGATTTGCAGTACCAGTGAAAGCTGGTAAGATCAATTTAGTCAAGGAAGACCACTGGGTTGAGTGCCAGTTATACTAGTTTTTGGTCATTCAATAATAGCTTTGGCGAGGGCAGAAACCAAAATTCACACACCGGACAGATTACACCTCAGCTAGAGATCAGACAGCTTGCTGGCACCGTTTCCTCTCGAGAAAGGGTAACATCTAAACCCTAAATCAGAATAACATCTAAACTTCCCTTTGCACTCAGAAGATATCTTGGAAACGTGAAGGGAAAGAAAGACCTTGGGGAGAAAGTAAACTGCTCTAATAAGGGGTTGACCTTTAACTATTTCCCATACTTGAGACCATTTAAAACTGGAAGACTATCTGCTATCAGTGGGAATGGGAATTTATGAGAAAAACTCAAAGCATATGTAGAAATTTACAGACCCTGGAATTCCCAAGAAGCAGGAGAGTTAAGACCAATGCTATCAAACCATAAATTCTAGTTGGAGGTGGTCTCACTGGGGAATGGGCCTGCAGATCATTTATTCATACTTTGTGTATCAAACTGGCACTCATTCTGTGTATAATTCAGACTCCAGAACTTGGGATCAGGCTGACACTAATCTCCAGCTGAGACTGCATCATGGTTTGACCAATTTTCCCTGCCTTGTGCTCCTTTCCTCATTCTGTTTCACCTGAGAGCACTCTCCTAGTGAATCAGTTGCACAAGACTCCCTGGCTTAGGCTCTGCTTCTAGGACTTGATCTCACACAGTTAAGCTAAAGCAGAAATGTACACATATCCTGGACTTAGATTGTGATGCAGCAAATAATGGGACTGGGTTGTCTCCCTCAGAAGGCAGGGTGAGAAACTTCTTTATGAAAGATAACTGCATTATACTAGTATTTCTGAAAGTAAATGAGAAAATCTTTTGAATGCTGAACAGCGAAAGAGACATCTTGTTAATACCACATCCGTTTCTTCTTTCTAATTGCACACAGTTTTCCTTGTGGAGTTTTCTCTCTCCATGGTACATAAGTTTGATGAGAAAGAAATCCTGGTCCTTACAGATTCCAGGTTCCAGAGGGTGGGCATTTGATTTAGGCTTGGCCAACCAGACTCTTTCTCCTGGGATTTTCAATCTTGAGCAGAATAATGCAAGCAAGCTGTAACGATTATAGGTTTTTTTGGATTTTCTTGTTTGTTTTTTGAGACAGAGGTTCCCTGTCACCCAGGCCGGTGTGCAGTGGCACAATCTCAGCTCACTCACTGCAACCTCTGCCTCCTGGGTTCATGTGATTCGCCTGCCTCAGCCTCCAGAGTAGCTGGGACTACAGGAACTACAGGTACACACCACCATGCCCAGCTAATTTTTGGTAGAGACGGGGTTTCACCATGTTGCCCAAGCTGTTTTGTTTGTTTGTTTGTTTGTTTAGACAGAGTCTCACTCTGTCTCACTCAGGCTGGAGTGCAATGGTGAAATCTGGGTTCACTTGAACCTCTGCCTCCTGGGTTCAAGCGATTCTCCTATCTCGGCCTCCTGAGTAGTTGGGGTTGCAAGCATGCACCACCACGCCCAGCTAATTTCTTTTTGTATTTTTAGTAGCGACAGGGTTTTACCATGTAGGCTAGGCTGGTCTTCACCCCTCAGGTGATCCGCCTGCCTCAGCCTCCCAATGTGCTGGGATTATAGATGTGAGCCACCATGCCCAGCCACAGGTTGGTCTTGAACTCCCTAAGCTCAGGCAATCCACCCATCTTGGCTTCCCAAAGTGCTAGGATTACAGGCATGAGCTATCGTGCCCAGCCTTTATAGTTCATTTTTTAAATAGCACTACTGAAAGAGAACTTTGGGCAGTTCCTGCTCTCAGTACTCTAAAGCTGCCTGTTTTCTGTTTGAGTCTGGTTCCCGGTCTTCTCTTCCATCATGTGAGCTTTCTCATAACCTTTCAAAACATTCCTCTTACCACAAAAATAATAACTATGAGATAATGCATTTACTAATTAGCTAGATTTAAACATTACAATACAAATATACTTCAAAACATCATGTTATACATAAGTACATATAATTGTATTTGCCAGTTAAAACTTTTTTAAAATTTTGCTTTAATTAGCCATTTAGTTGCTATTACATGCAGCACTTCAGTGAGAGGTTTATCTTACACAGGCAGCATTGCTAATTTCAGGGAGGACATCAACAAAATATGGATGACAGCTCTTGCTCCACCTCAGCTGCCTCTGCTCTCCACCAGTATCACTGGACCATAGTTAGGCCATATCTGGGGGTGATCAGTCATTTCCTAGAAAGTGCCAGGCTCTGCCTCAAGGTTGAACAGCCAGGGCAATGAGTAACATACCTGGGGCTTTTTTTTTTTTTTTAATTGAGATAGAATAGGATCTCACTTTGTTGCCCAGGCTGGAATACAGTTGGCACCATCTCAGCTCACTGCAACCTTTGCCTCGCTGGCTCAAGCCATCCTCCTGCCTCAGCCTCCTGATAGCAGGGACTAGAGGCGCATGCCACTACACCCAGATAACCTTTTAAAATTTTTTGTAGAGACGGGGTTTCACCGTGTTGCCCCGGCCGGTGTTGAATTCATGGACTCAAGGCGATCTGCCAGCCTCAGCCTTCCATAGTGCTGGGATTACAGGTATGAGCCACCATGCCCAGCCCCTTCCTAGGGTTTCCAGCTTTTCCTTTCACTTTAAGACTTGGATAAAATGCCACACCTCACAGGGATATGACTTCCTGAGTAGCCAACAAAGGAACTGGATGATGCAACCTGGAATTATGGAGAAGTCAACTCCCTGTGGGGCAAACTCTAACCAAAGGGAATTTGTTCTCCTTCCTTGTTCCCAAAAACTGCACTGAGGCAATTTCTCCATATAGTTTGTCTAGAAACTTCCTCAATGATTGTGCCAACACTCCTACTGACTGTCTTTCTGAGCATGTCATCATGAAGCAGTGGCAGGACAGTATGTCCCCCTCAATGTCCATGCCCAAAGACTGCACCTCATAGATTAAATATTAGCACTTAACCCCTGTCTCAGATTCTGTTTTCAAGGGAATCCAAGTTAAATACCCCTTTGTACCTGTTTATTTTTGTACTGTTTTAAAATAATACTTAGCTCTTCCTAAGTATGAAATATTGACTTCACAAATTAAAAGCTAAATATTATTCAAAAAATTCTAATTGGTATTGAACTGTGGTAATAATGTTAATAATAATAATGGAAAACAATAGATTTATTCCATTATAATTTAATATTTTAAATCAGAAATTGAAGTATTTAAGAGCCATGGTTTTCACAGAAAGATTCCATTCTATCCCTAAATCATATCCTATAAATGTAACATTCCAAACTTAGTAAGGAGAGAGTAGGAAGAACCTTCAATGGCACATCTATGGCACTAAGAAAACTAGGACACTATAAATGCCCTGCAGGCCAAAGGAGAATTTCAAGGAGGTGCTCAATCTTAAATACTAGATATGAATAAATCAAGAAGAAAAGGAACAGAAAAATGACACCGTAGTGAACCATATTTCTTTTCTGCTATGGCTTCTTGGGCATTCAGTCTGTCATTTGCGGTATGTCAGGGGAAGTAAAAATAAGAGGTGTCTCTAGGCAACTTTTGCAACTTCCTCTGTTGCCCAGGCTGGAGTGCAAAGGCACAAACACAGCTCACTGCAGCCTCAACCTCTTGGGTTCAAGCAGTCCTCTTGCTTCAGGCTCCTAAGAAGCTGAGACTATAGGCACATGCCACCACAGCTAGCTAATTTTTTTATTTTTATTTTTTATAGAGATGGGGTCTCACCATGTTGCTGAGGTTGGTCTCAAACTCCTGAGCTCAAGTGATGGGCCCACCTCAGCCTCCCAAAGTGCTGGGATTACAGGCATGAGACACCACAACTGGCCAACCCTCCATTTCTTTAAATACCTGCCATAGCCTATCATAGAAAATAGAAGATACAGCAATAATCGTTGCCAAGAGCTTGATATGTAATTTAGCTAATCAAAAATGATGACTGTCTTGATTACTGGAATAATCTAACTTGGATACTGTTCAAGGGGGGAAAGTTATATGGACACATCATTGATCATGCCTTCTTCCTTTGTTAACCTTTAAAATGCAAGCTTAGAGGTTATTTAGAGGTCATCACCATCTCTTCAAAAGCCTATGCCTGCAGGGCATAGTAGCTCACATCTGTAATCCTAGCACTTTGGGAGGCCGAGGAGGGCAGATCACAAGGTTGGGAGTTCAAGACCAGCCTGGCCAACATGGTGAAACCCCTGTCTCTATTAAAAATACAAACAATTAGCTGGGCGTGGTGGCGGGCACCTGTAATTTCAACTATGCAGTAGGCTGAGGCAGGAGAATTGCTTGAAACCAGAAGGCAGAGCTTGCAGTGAGCTGATATCATGTCACTGCACTCCAGCCTGGGCAACAAAAGTGAAACTACATCTCAAAAATAAGTAAATAAATAAATATTACTTTCATTTGAAGTACAGAAAACCCAACTTAAATGGCTTTAAACTAGAAGGAAGTTTATTAACTCACACAACTAAAGATCAAAAGTAGGACAGATTGAAAAATTGATGTAATCCCCTTACTAAAGTCCATTTATTTCTCTGTTTTTTTGGTCTTGCCCTTCCCCATGTGTTGACTTCAAACTCAGGTTGCCACCAAAAGGACTGCAGCAATTCCAGGCCTTACATCCAAGTTCAATCAGGTCCAGAGGGAGCTTGAATCACTTCTGGAAGTTTTCCTGTAACAGTGAGGAAAAGCTTCTCTGCAAGCATTCTGCAAATCTTGCAGTTCACTGAGGTAAACTGGAAAAGATGCATAAACCTAATTCAGTTGCTTGCAAGAGGTTGATATTACCAGTCCAGACTACTCTTGAGGCTGAGGATGCTAAACTAAGCTACAACGGACTGTGGTTAAGAGAGGAGTTCCTGAACAGTATCACAGTATCTGTTGGGAAGGAAAAAGCAGGAAAACCACGTTAAGTAGGTGAAGAACTCTTTTTTTTTTTTTTTTTTTTTTTTTTTTTGAGACAGCACATTGCCCAGGCTGGAGTGCAATGATGAGATTTCAAGTCCCTGCAATCTCCGCCTCCTGGGCTCAAGGGATCCTCCCACCTCAGCCTCTGGGAGTAGCTGGGACTACAGGTGAGAGCCACCTGGCTAATTTTGGCTTTTTTTTTTTTTTTTTTTTTTTTTGGTAGAGACAGGGTTTTGCCATGTTGCCCAGGCTAGTCTCGAACTCCTGGGCTCAAGTGATCCTCGGCCTCCTAAAGTGCTAGGATTATAGATGTTAGTCACCACAGCCAGCTCAACTCACTTTTTGTATTCTCAGCATCTTGTAGACACACTTAAAAAACCAAAAACAAAAATCCCAGACACACAAAGTTTATTTCAATGTTGAGTGAAGGAAGCATGTTGTATTCTTGTGCATAAATACCTTGAACATAGATAGGAATTTGACTTTCTGGGTGAGAGGGGGAATAGGGGTCTCACTTCTTTTCGAAGGCTGGAGTGCAGTGGCACCATCTCAGCTCACTGGAACCTCTGCCTGCTGGGCTCAGATTATCCTCCGACCTCAGCCTCCCGAGTAGCTGGGACCACTGGCACACGCCACCACACTCATTTAATTTTTTGTGTTTTTGGTAGAGACAGGGTTTCCCCATGTTGCTCAGGCTGGTCTCAAACTCCTGCGTTCAAGTGATTCGCCCACCTCTACCTCTCAAAGAGCTAGGATTACAGGCGTGAGTCACCACACCTGGTCAGCATTTGATTTTTTTCTATCAATAAACCTCAGTGAAGAAAAATAACCTCTAAGTTATTTACCCTTCTGGATTCTTTTGTAGGTTGCTAGATTTCCTTGCTAAGTCAATTCATCTCCCATGACTTAGGTGCTATAGTAGAAAGGAAAAATCCCAAGCCAACAGACTTACATTTCCTTAACAACTGTATTAACGTACTAGTGACTTTTTCCGGAAAACATATCATAGTGGAGTGCTTAAAGTTCCTTTCTCTCTCTTCTTTAAAAGTTCCCTTTTCTTCTTCCTCCTCCTCTTTCTTCCTCTCCTTCATTTTTTTCCTTTCCCTCTTTTTTTTTTTAAAAGTAAATGCCATAAACTATCATAAAAATGCAAGAACTCACAGAAAAAAAGAACTCTATATAAGCAAAAACTCTATGTAAGCAAATGTGTTTGGACTTAGCTCTTTTCTCTCTCTCCGTGTGTGTGTGTGTGTGTGTGTGTGTGTGTATGTCTGCCTGCCTGCCTTTTTTATGGCAGCCCAATTTGCCTACATTATATGCAGCCAGATACATTATCAGAGGAATCCTTCCTCTTTCTGCACATAATTTCCAAAGAGCTCCTTCAATATTAAAATGTAAGAAGATATGTTCCAGACATAAAATATGTTGGCCAGCCATGCAGCATTCTTTTCATAATGCTGGCAATTTAGATGTTTTTTTCAGTTCTTCAGTTTAATCGGTGGAAAATCATCTCAAGAAGGAGTTAATTTACTTTTAACAGCTTGTGACTTCCAGGATATGTCAGTAGGCTCAGGACTTGGGCTTGGCAAAAACCAGGCAGCTGAATTGTCAAGAGAAGTAGAAAAACCTGAAAACTTTGATTCTGGATTGAGGATGTTTCCCAAAGAGGGTTCAACAAGACAGAAGAGAGTGCACTGGACATCTCTCACCTCACTCTGAATCACTCAACAGCTGCCATTTGAGAGGCTCTGTATGTCATGTCCTCTGCTGGATGAAATGGGAAATGCCGATGTCCACTGACAACAAGTTCATGCTGGAAAGCCAGCACCAGCTCATGTGAATCAGTGATTGAACACACACACAAATAGGCTGAATCCGAATGTGAATGAAATCATAGCAAACAGTATAAGACATAAAGCCATAAATATACAATGGTTAGGTTATATGGCATGAACTATAATTATAGTACTATAAGTACTATAATTTAGACAGAGGTCATAATAGAGGTTAAGAACATGAATTATCACTATAGTCGCTTTTGTCATGATCCATCCTAGGTGAGATTTAGTACTTAAGTACACTGTCAGGCATACAAAGTTAATTTAACAGTTTAATACATTTATTTCCTCATCCTAAACGTTGGTTCGCCCAAACGGGGCCAGGTATTCACTGGCGAGATTAAAGTATTTATTGGAGTAATTTATTCATTGAAAAATATTAACTGGGTGTGATAGTTCACACCCAGTACCCCAGTACTTTAGAGGGCCGAGGCAGGCAGATTAAAAAAAAAAAGAAAAAAGTTCCTTTTTCTTACCAAAATGAAGAAACTGAAGGGATGAAGATCTGCTTTTCTAGGGTAACAGCTGTCCATTTTAAAAGTTCCTTGGGGATGGGCATGGTGGCTCACACCTGTAATCCCAGCATTTTGGGAGACTGAGGCGTGTGGATTGCCTGAGGACAGGAGTACCAGCCCAGCCTAGCCAACACGGTGAAACGCTGTCTCTACTAAAAATACAAAAATTAGCTGGGCGTAGTGGCAGGCGCCTGTAACCACAGCTACTCGGGAGGCTGAGGCAGGGGAATTACTTGAACCCAGGAGGAGGAGGTTGCAGTGAGCCGAGATCGCGCCACTGCACTCCAGCCTGGGCGACAGAGTGAGACTCTGTCTCAAACAAACAAATTTAAAAGCTCCAAATCCTCCAAAAATCCAAGGAAGACATTTTTCTGTAACTAGAGATAAGTACTGATGTTTATTTTTAATAGGTTATTTTCAAAGATGTGAACGTTATCCATGGAGATTTAAGTAAGTCTCCAAAAGGGAATAAAAATGCACACCTTTATACTAATACTTCATCATCAGACAAATTTGGATCATCGCTAAATTGGCTTCTATACCTCTCTCCTAATATAAGGTACTCTTTTAAGTTTGCAGTTGTGAGACACTTATTTCCTCATCTTTAATGTCTTCTCAGTGGGGCCACTGATATAGTCACTACTTGACTGACGAGAATGGTTGGCACTGGTGATTGGCTCATAAAGTGCCCTCGGTTTAGGGGGCTCAGTTATCAAAGGTTCAAATCCTAGCCCAAACCACTGCTGTGATTGGAGCTAATCGATGAACCACTCAGCTTCACTTGCAAAAGGGTTATCACTATAGTCGCTAGTCGCTGTTGTCATGATCCAACCTAGGTGAGATTTAGTACTTAAGTACACTACACTGTCAGGCACACAAAGTTAACAGTTTAATACATTTATTTCCTTATCTATTTCTCTAAACCTTCCAACTAATCCTAAACGTTGGTTTGCCCAAACGGGGCCAGGTATTCACTGGCGAGATTACAAAAAAAAAAAAAAAAAAAAAAAAAAAAAAAAAAAGCAGACTCCCTGGGGCTTGGGGAGGGGAAACCGCCACCCCATGTCCCAGTCTGGAGGTGGTTCAGCCCTTAGCACACAGATCCACCGCCATAATGCTCCTCGAGGCCCAGGAACCCGGATGTGGGGCGTTGCCTAGGGCGTCTTGCCCAAGCCGCAGGAAAGGAAAGGGGCGGGAGCCGGGTGAAGGCATCGCGACCCAGGCCACCGCGGCGAGACTCAGTCTTCGAGTCCCACCTGTCCGAAGTGGGGTGGGGAAAGGCACAAGATGGCAAAGCCAGGCACCTCCCAGGGCGGGCAACTCACGGCCGTTAAGGGCCGGACCCTTGGCAGTTTTCGGACTTTCGGAACCGGAAGCGGCGCCTGGGAGCGCGCCCGAGAGAGCGTTAACGGGGTCGCTTTACCGGAAGTGCTTACGGCTTCGGGCCCCGCTTTGCCCCGCGGCCTGTTCGGTTTCCTAATCAGGGGAGGGCCGCGGAAGAGGACCATTACCTTGGCTACACTAAGTTCTCAGCGCCACTCCCTAGCAGGGCGGGACCCACTTTAGGCCCTGTGATCTCGCGGTTAGTAGGAGCGCAAGGCGCCTAGGGACCCTGGACCTTGACCCGCCTGGGGAGGGAAAAAAGTTTGGCCCGGCGAGTCCCAAAAGGCAGAATGGACGGGCTCCTAAATCCCAGGGAATCCGCTAAATTCATTGCAGAAAACAGTCGGGATGTGTTTATCGACAGCGGAGGCGTACGGAGGGTGGCAGAGTTGCTGCTGGCCAAGGCGGCGGGGCCAGAGCTGCGCGTGGAGGGGTGGAAAGCCCTTCATGAGCTGAATCCCAGGGCGGCCGACGAGGCCGCGGTCAACTGGGTGTTCGTGACGGATACGCTCAACTTCTCCTTTTGGTCCGAGCAGGACGAGCACAAGTGTGTGGTGAGGTACAGAGGGAGAACGTACAGTGGGTACTGGTCCCTGTGCGCCGCCGTCAACAGAGCCCTCGACGAAGGTTGGTGCCATCCACGCCGTGGGTCCCAACAGTTTTTGAGATTTCCATTTACTTGGGGGGGAGGTGTAGAGGGGTTCCAAGGAGCGGGTTGGAAGATGGAATAATAGGAAGCAAACCTGAAGTTCTTCGTTGCAAGTCCTTCTGCTTAAAATAGAAGTATGAAAAGGGAAGGATTTTAGTGGGAAATGATCTTAATATTTATCATCGCAGCATGGAAGTTACCGTAGTATAAAAGTCAGTTTTGTAAAGAATGCCATTTGAATTACACCTGAAGAACAAAAGGACTGATGTTATAAAGCAGTTTACTCAAAATAAATCTGATACAATATTGCAGTAGTTAGAAGTGGGTGAATAAGTACAGACGAGTAGCAAATGAGAGTTTTGCTTGTGATTTTTTTATTCAGCCACTTTCGGTGCATTCCTATAACACTTATTTGGTTTCATATTAATTACATGTTATAAAAAGCAAGGGTTTAATGAATATAAAAGTATGACATTGATCCTCTGAATTTTATTTTTTCACTAAAGGTATACCAATAACTAGTGCCTCATACTACGCTACAGTGACCCTGGATCAGGTTCGAAATATACTTCGTTCTGACACAGATGTTTCCATGCCTTTAACAGAAGAGAGGCATCGGATTCTCAATGAAACCGGGAAAATTCTGCTGGAGAAGTTTGGTGGCTCTTTTCTTAACTGCATTAGAGAAAGTGAGAATAGTGCACAGAAGTTAATGCACCTTGTCGTTGAAAGTTTTCCTTCTTACAGAGATGTGACTGTGTTTGGGGTGAGTTGCTTCTGTTGGGGACTTTAGAGGTCTTAGTCATCTCAGAGTTAACTCTTTTACTTCCAGAACTCATTTTGAGAATAAAAACTTAAAATTTTTAAGTGTATTCCTTGTGGAATAAACAGTAACAAAATTTGGTAGTTTTGAAGTCATTTCTTATGTTTTCTAATCAGTGTATTTCATTCTTTTGTATTTTTTTTTCTTTTAAAATGTTTCAAACCTAAAAAACGTGGAACCCTCCATGTAATGTTCTCCTTATGGATAATTAGGTCTCTTTAGTACTTCAAAAAGTTTACTTTATTGAATGAAGATCAGAATGTATGCAAAACTTCCTAACAAAAAGTATTTCTGGCCGGGCACAGTGGCTCACTCCTGTAATCCCAGCACTTTGGGAGGCGAGGCTGGTGGATCACCTGAGGTCAGGAGTTTGAGACCAGCCTGGTCAATATGGTGAAATCCCATCCCTACTAAAATACAAAAATTAGCCCGGTGTAGTGTTGTATGCCTCTAATCCCAGCTACTTGGGAGGCTGAGGTGGGAGAATCGCTTGAACCCAGGAGGTGGAGGCTACAGTGAGCTGAGATTGCACCACTGCACTCCAGCCTGGGTGAGACAACGACATACTCTCTATCTCCAAAAAAAAAAAAAAAAAGTATTTCTTGCAAAGTTAAGTGTACTGTATATATATATATTGTGTTTTCTTTTTCATAAAGCATACTTGAACGATTTTTTTTGGCACAAAGAAATTAAATAGATATACTTGTAAAATGATGATCATTTTGTTACACCTTCCCAGGCTACACCTGGATTTTGTTTTTGCCAGATTCTTTTGGAATCTCTTAAAACTGGGAGATGGAGGTTGCAGTGAGCTGAGATCACGCCACTGCACTCCAGCCTAGGTGACAGAACTAGACTCCGTCTCAAAAAAATTAAATAAAAAATAAATTGGCCAGGTGTGGTGGCTCACACATGTAATGCCAGCACTTTGGAAGGCCGAGGTGGACAGATCACTTGAGGTTAGGAGTTCAAGACCAACCTGGTCAACATGGTAAAACTCTTGTTTCTACTGAAAATACAAAAATTAACCGAACGTGGTGGTGGGCGCTTGTAATCCCAGCTACTTGGGAGGTAGAGGCAGGAGAATCACATGAACACAGGAGGCAGAGATCGCAGTGAGCCGAGATCATGCCATTGCACTCCAGCCTGTGTGATAAGAGTGAGACTCCATCTCAAAAAAAAAAAAATCCAGCTGCCATCCACGTGACTAATAGTCTATGTATTGTAGAATCAGTTCAGTTGTAGTAGAGGAAGGGGTAGGTTAAGTTTAATGTGACTTCAGGACACCATGTAGTTTGCTTACTTTCAAGTTGTCATGAGTTTTTATTTTTGTGGGTGAAAGGAGTAAATTTTTTTGTAGATTATAATATTGATTTAGCAAACATTTGCTGAATTTCATTTATAGCACAGTGCTTTGCTTTTGCCTAGCTGAAAAGTTCAATTTTTAAAAAATGTACCAAAATATAGATTAATTTTAAGTCTGATTTTTTTTTTTTTTTTTGAGATGCAGTTTCACTCTGGAGTGAAGTGGTGAGATCTTGGCTTACTGCAGCCTTCCTGGGTTCAAATGATTCTCCTGCCTCAGCCTCCCAAGTAACTGGAATTACAGGCACCTGCCACCATGCCCAGCTAATTGTTAATTTTTTACTTTTTGTAGAAACAGGGTTTCACCATCTTGGCCAGGCTGGTCGCAAACTCCTAACCTCAAGTTAGGGTGGTTGAGGTAAGAGGATTGCTTGAGCCCAGGAGTTCAAGACCAGCCTGGGCAACATGGAGAGACTCCATTTCTACAAAAAATTTAAGAATTAGCCAGGTATGGTGGCATGCCTGTGGTCCTTTCCTAGCTACTCAGGAGGCTGAGGCAGGAGTATTGCTTGAGTCCAGGAGGTGGAGGCTGCAGTGAGCTATGATTGTTCCATTGTACTCCAGCCTGGAAGACAGAGCAAGACCTTGTCCTGTCTCCAAAATAAATGAAAATAAACAATTTGCACAAAATAGTCATATGTTTTTAATATATATTTACTGAGATTATCATTCATTTTTAGACATGAACAGATTAATAAAGTTGACAATTTTTAATTTAGACAGATTTTGATGAGTGATTTCTCAACCTGGCTATGCCCCAGAATCACTTAGAAGGCTTAAAATTTGAATGTATTTCTAAACACCCTCAAAGATCCTGATCAGTAGGTGAAAGAGCTTTTTTTTTTTTTTTTTTTGAGACAGAGTTTTGCTCTTGTTACCCAGGCTGAAGTGCAATGGCGTGATCTCGGCTCACCGCAACCTCCCCCTGCTGGGTTCAGGCAATTCTCCTGCCTCAGCCTCCTGAATAGCTGGGATTACAGGCACGCGCCACCATGCCCAGCAAACTTTTTTTTGTATTTTAAGTAGAGACGGGGTTTTACCATGTTGACCAGGATGGTCTGAATCTCTTGACCTTGTGATCCACCTGTCCCAGCCTCCCAAAGTGCTGGGATTACAGGCTTGAGCCACCGCACCCGGCCGAAAGAGCTATTTTTTAAGCTCTTCAGTTTACTTTGATTTAGAGTAATGCAGTAACTTTGTAAAAATTCCGGCTGGGCGCGGTGGCTCAAGCCTGTAATCCCAGCACTTTGGGAGGCCGGGACTGGTGGATCACGAGGTCAAGAAATTGAGACCATCCTGGTCAATATGGTGAAACCCCGTCTCTACTAAAAATACAAAAAATTAGCTGGACATGGTGGCGCGTGCCTGTAATCCCAGCTACCCAGGAGGCTGAGGCAGGAGAATTGCCTGAACCCAGGAGGCAGAGGTTGCAGTGAGCCAAGATCGCGCCATTGCACTCCAGCCTGGGCAACAAGAGCGAAACTCTGTCTCAAAAAAAATAAAAATAAATAAATAAATAAAATTCTAATTAACAAATTGACTTTCTTATTGTTACTGTGACATACTGATAAATACATATGAAGAACATAAGCTTTTTGATGTTTCAATAGATAACGTTTTATGGTTGGTTGGTTGGTTGGTTGGTTGGTTGGTTGGTTTTGAGACGGAGTCTCTGGAGTCTTGCTCTGTTGCCCAGGCTGGACTTCAGTCGTGTGATCTTGGCTCACTGCAACCTCCACCTCCTGGATTCAAGCAATTCTCCTGCTTCAGCCTCCTGAGTAGTTGGGATTAGAGACATGCACCACTACACCTGGCTAATCTTTTTATTTTAGTAGAGATGGAGTTTCACTGTGTTGGCCAGGCTGGTCTCAAACTCCTGACCTCAGGTGATCTACCAGCCTCGGCCTCCCAAAGTGCTGGGACTACAGGCATGAGCCACTGCGACTGGCCTTTGTTTTTTTTTTTGACGCGGAGTGTTATTCTGTCACCCACGCTGGAGTGCAGTGGAACAATCTCAGCCCACTGCAACCTCTGCCTCTTGGGTTCAAGTGATTCTCCCACCTCAACTCCTAAGTAGCTAGGATTACAGGCACCTACCATCATGTCTGGCTAATTTTTATAGAGGCAGGGTTTCACTGTGTTGGCTAGGCTGGTTTTGAACTCCTGACCTCAGGTGATCTGCCAGCCTCGCCCTCCCAAAGTGCTGGGATTACAGGTGTGAGCCACTGCACTGGGCCTGTGTTGTTCTTAAGTATTTGTAATCCTTGAACTTTCTATTATTCATGATAAAATTATGGAAAAATTTTTTCAGGAAACTTAACTGGCCCGATGTGATGGCTCTTGCCTGTAATCCTAGAACTTTGGGAGGCCAAAGCAGGTAGATCACTTGAGCCCAGGAATTCAAAACCAGCCTGAGCAACGTGGTGAAACCCCATCTCTGCAAAATAACAAAAAAGTTAACTGGGCTTGGTGATACACACCTGTAGTCCCAACTATTTAGGAGGCTGAGTTGGGAGGATTGCTTGAGCCCAGGGAGGTCAAGGCTGCAGTGAGCTGTGATTGAGCCACTGAATTCTAGCCTGGGTGGCAGTGAGGCCTTGTCTAAAAAAAACAAACAAAAAATTAACTCATGGTCATAGAGCTTTTTATTGACAGTTATTTTATAAAGGTGCTGTTGAGAAACTATTTAATCACAAAGCAATATCATGAAACATGTAGGGAACAGTTATTTGGAGATTTACTAGTATTTTTAGTGATACCAGTTAGTATTTTAGAGATCCAGAATTTGATTATAAAATCATTTGATTTCTAAAACCATAATGAGCTTACTAAGAAAATGTTTTATAGATTATTTGAATTTATTTTTAGATTCCTCACTTAAATCTTTTTGTCCTTTTTTAATCTTAAAATATTAAATCTGTTATAACCTATTATTTATATAGACTAGTCTGCTACTATGGAAACAGCAGTCACATGAAAATTTGTTTTCTTAGACGCTAGCACTGATTTTGTTATTTTTATTTTTATTATTTTTTCCCCTCTGTAGGTTGTTATATAAGTTTGATTCCTAGGTTTTTTTTCATTTTTGCTCTATGAATCTTGTTAAAAATAGCAGATAATGGCTTCTATCTATTATAAACTTTATGGTGTAGTAATTGTATTTGATAGACATTTATAAATTGAGTCTTATGTCTTGCTGTTTTATAAACTAGATTTGAACTAGAAACCTGGTTGCCATATATAAATCCAGTGTATATAGAGGAACAATTGCCAGGTTGTCATATTTAAATCATATATATATATAATAATTATTATTATTGTTATTTCAGACAGAGATTTTTGCTCTTGTTGCCTAGGCTGGAGTACAATGGCTCGTTCTTGGCTCACTGCAACCTTCGTCTCCTAGGTTCAAGCGGTTCTCCTGCCTCAGCCTCCTGAGTTGCTGGGATTATAGTTGCCCAACATCGTGCCCAGCTAATTTTTGTTATTTTTAGTAAAGACGGGGTCTCGCCATGTTGGCCAGTCTGGTCTCGAACTCCTGACCTCAGGTGATCCACTCACCTTGGCCTCCCAAAGTGCTAGGATTACAGGCATGAGCCGCTGTGCCCAGCCATAGGTATTTTGAAATTGTGTGTGTGTGTGTGTGTGTGTGTGTATATTTAGTTGTCATATTTAGATAGGTTTGGGAATATAGGGTGATAGCATAATGTAGGAATGTTTTAAATTGTGATTTGATCCTTCAGCCCCTCAATTTAATTTAGAGACATTACACCACATCAGAAAAAGAGCATGTATGTTTGCCCTGGAAAACATATTCTGACTTTCTTAAATGTAGCTTTAGAAGTTTTAATTTATTTAGTATAATAAAAGTAGGTCTGGAACTCTTGCAAAAGGCATGTCTTAAGGTTAAGCAATGTTATGTTATTTCTTATTTTAACAGTATCACTGGAGTTTTCTTGGTAAACAATCTGTAGTATCATCTTAATGAATTTTTGTATAGAGCCTTTCCTTAAAATTTTAGTCTCATATTTATCTGTTTATTTCATTTACTAGTTAAAATATTCTCCTCCAAGGTGGTCAGGATATATTTTGGGAGCTTGTAATATTGATAAACATTTATAAAACATGATTTAAGGTTATTACCATTGGGGCTAGTAGTAGATTGTAATTATCTCATAGTGTAGGCTGATTTGCATTTGTAGATTTACGGAAGTTTTTTTTTTTTGAGATAGAGAGTCTCAGTTGCCCAGGCTGGAGTTCAGTGATGTGATCATAGCTCACTGTAGCCTCTACCTCCCAGGCTCAAGCAATCCCCCTGCCTCAGCCTGGTGAGTAGCTGAAACTACAGGCATGTACCATCATGCCTGGGTAATTAAAAATATATATATTTTTTGATAGCGACGGGATTTTGCTGTGTTTTGTAGAGATGAGGTTTTACCGTTGCCCAGGCTGGTCTTGAACTTCTGGCTTCAAACAATCCTCCTGCTTCGGCCTCCGAAATTGATGGGATTATAGGTGTAAGCCACCACACTTGGCTAGAATTTTTGTTGGCTAGAATTTTTGAGTTAAATTATAACTCGCTACCTTATAATGCTTGGTTAAATTTGTCTTTTCTATATATTTTCTTTCTTTTTTTTTTTTTAAGGCAGAGTTTTGCTCTTGTTGCCTGGGCTGGAATGCAGCAGAGCGATCTTGGCACACCTCAGCCTCTGCCTCCCAGGTTCAAGCAATTCTCCTGTCTCAGCCTCCCGAGTAGCTGGAATTATAGGCATGCGCCACTATACCCTGCTAATTTTTTCTTTTTTTTGAGACAGAGTTTCGCTCTTGTTACCCAGGCTGGAGTGCAATGGCACGATCTCGGCTCACTGCAACCTCCGCCTCCTGGGTTCAGGCAATTCTCCTGCCTCAGTCTCCTGAGTAGCTGGGATTACAGGCATGTGCCACCATGCCCAGCTAATTTTTTGTATTTTTAGTAGAGACGGGGTTTCACCATGTTGACCAAGATGGTCTCGATCTCTTGACCTTGTGATCCACCCGCCTCGGCCTCCCAAAGTGCTGGGATTACAGGCTTGAGCCACTGCGCCTGGCTAATTTTGTATTTTAAGTAAAGACAGGGTTTATTCATATTGGTCACACTGGTCTTGAACTCCTGACCTCAGGTAATCCACCTGCTTCAGCCTCCCAAAGTGCTGGGATTACTGGTGTGAGCCACCGCACCTGGTGTGGCTATTTTATTTTCACATTTGGACTTACATATCAACCTTGACCATTTCCAAAATTGATAAATTTGATAATTTTCTAGCTGTTGATCATTTAATGTCTTTGTCTATAAAACAAATTAATCATATTGTCTAAAAGGAAACAGTTAAAAATGAATCTTGTGGTTCTCTTCAGACCTGAGCTTATGGATGATTATTCTTATTTATTTATTTATTTATTTATTTTGAGACAGAGTGCAGTGTGGTGATCTCAGCTCATTGCAACCTCTGTTCTCTGGATTCACGTAATTCTCATGCCTCAGCCTCCCCGAGTAGCTGGGATTACAGGTACCTGTCACCACACCTGACTAATTTTTGTATTTTTAGTAGAGTTTTATCATGTTGGTCAGGCTGGTCTTGAACTCCTAGGCTCAAGCAATATGCCCACCTCAGCCTCCCAAAGTGCTGGGATTACAGGCAGGAGCCATGGCGCCCGGTCAATCTATAAATTCTTACCAACAAAGTAAGATTATTCTTCCTTTTTAAAAATGTTTCAACCTGCACCTTTAAAAAATAGCATATATAAAGCTTTCAGAGTGCTGAGATTACAGATAACATTTATATTTTCTTTTTCAGGGGAAAAGAGTTTCTTTTTATAAGCGAGCCCAGATCCTTGTAGCAGATACATGGAGTGTATTGGAAGGAAAAGGAGATGGCTGCTTTAAGGACATCTCCAGTATCACCATGTTTGCTGATTATAGATTACCTCAGGTTCTTGCTCATCTTGGAGCCCTGAAATACTCTGCTGAACTACTGAAGAAGCTTCTCAAAGGTTTGCAGCTTTAAGTCATTCTTTGTTACACTGTGAATTGTTGAGTCTTGGTTTGGTTTCTTTTACAAAAGGTCTCCTTTACTTTAAAAAAAAGTACTATTCATTGTTCATAGTATATGTAAAGGAAATGCAAAGACAAAATGTGGAGAAAATGATTTTTATTTTTGTTTACACTGTGAAATGTGGATATTGTAGAAAACTGTGCTATTTAACATTATAATTTCATAGCCTAATGAAACCTAAATTTATGTTGCATGAAAGTATGTAACACTGACATTTCATCAGGTATAGTATATGAAGAGCGTTAATTAAGCTTAAGAGCACACTACATCCCAGCTACTCAGGCGGCTGAGGCAGGAGAATTGCCTGATCCCAGGAGTCAGAGGTTTCGGTCAGCCGAGATCACGCCATTGCACTCCAGCCTGGGTAACGAGCGAAAACTCCATCTCAAAAAAAAAAAAAAGAGTACACTACATGGTGATATGGAGGATAGGCTGAAAGTTAGGTAATATGAATCAGATTTTGAGTGAAGAGACTCCAAGATCTGCACTGGGTTATCTTGTACAAGTCACTTACTTCTCTAGGCTTATTCACCATTATTGGCTATGATTATTGATGTCAAGACTAGGAGCCTTACGGTTTATAAGCAAGCATAGGTAATTGGGTTGAAAAGTTTGTATGAAAATTAGCTTTTTGTATTTTAAACAATCCTTTTTATGAGGAAAAGAAATTATATAATTTTCATGTTAATTTCTCTTTTAGGTACAGTATTTTCTGCTACTGTTTTCTTTTAAAAATATGTTGCCCAGGCTGGTCTCCAATTCCTGGGCTTAAGCAGTCTTCCCACTTCAGCCTTCCAAAGTGCTGACATTACAGGTGTGAGCCACTGCATTTGGCTCCTTTATGTTTTTTTTTTTTTTTTTTTTTGAGATGGAGTTTCGCTCTTGTTACCCAGGCTGGAGTGCAATGGCACGATCTCGGCTCACCGCAACCTCCACCTCCTAGGTTCAAGCAATTCTCCTGCCTCAGTCTCCTGAGTAGCTGGGATTACAGGCACGTGCCACCATGCCCAGCTAATTTTTTGTATTTTTAGTAGAGACGGGGTTTCACCATGTTGACCAAGATGGTCTCGATCTCTTAACCCTCATGATCCACCCACCTCAGCCGCCCAAAGTTCTGGGATTACAGGCTTGAGCCACCGCGCCCACCCTGTTGTATTTTTTTTTTTTTGAAACAGAGTCTTGCTCTTGTTGCCCAGGCTGGAGCGCAATGGCATGATCTCAGCTCACTGCAACCTCTGCCTCCTGGGTTCAAGCAGTTCTCCTGCCTCAGCCTCCCAAGTAGCTAGGATTATAGGCTTGCACTACCACGCCTGGAAAATTTTTGTATTTTTAGTAGAGACAGGGTTTCTCCATGTTGGTCAGGTTGGTCTTGAACTCTCAACAGGTGATCCGCCTGCCTTGGCCTCCCAAAGTGCTGGGATTACAGGCATGAGCCACTGTGCCCGGCCCTTTATGTATTTTTTAAGAGAAGTAGATTCTATGATTGAATAACTTCCTCTTGTGAAATAGATTTGAATCTCCCCAAATCAGAATAATACAGAATATAAAAGTACCATTATTTCTATGGTTGGCTATTCTGGGTTTTTATGCTGCCTTGGGCAATCTATTTTGTCTTCTTTTCCTCATTTGAAAAAGAACATACTATTTTTTTTTTTTTGTCATAATGCTCATGTCAAGTGTCATTAATCATTGGATACCTTTAAAAGGGACAATCAGTGTTTATTTTTCATACGGCCATATCGAGCTGTCTTTTTTTTTTTTTTTTTGGCCCACATACATATACAATATTTATTTCTGTCTCTGAGCATTCTCTTACATGATTTCTGTTGTCCAAATTTTCTTTTTATCAATTCAACTCCTACATACACAGAGGCTTTACTCAAATTCTGTCCTTGCTTATAGTGATTTGTCCATCTCCTTCTGAGTTTTTATAGCACTTAATTGTCTCTGCTACTATGAGAAAAATCTTAGTGAGACAGGATCATCCAGCATAGTTGTACAGAGATGTCAGAGTTTTCTTCTCCTATTCATTTCAACTCCAGAGGCTCTTTTCCAGTCTCTTTCAGCAGCCTTTACTGCCTCCATTTATTCCTTGCTTCTAAAAGGGTACTCTGCTATCCTTAGCTAGGGTAGGCAAATTCTTTTGCCACTTAGTTCATTTAAGCAAAATTTGGATTTTGTTTTCCAAAAAGTATTTTACTGCAAAACTAGAGAAAAGTAAACAGAAACTGTAAATGTAATGTAACAGACATAAGCATAGTGTACTGATTTTCAAAAACTACGTTAAGTGAAATCTAGGGCCAGCTTAGTTGGACTAGGTGAGGTAGGACATTCCTTAACTGGCTTCCAATGGTACTTCCAAACTTGAGGATGTGCTTCATTTTTATTCCTTCCCTTCTCCCCTTATCTGGGTATCTCTGGGACAGCTCTTGAAAGGTGGACTTCTGTCCACCCTCTCTTTTTTTCTTTTTCATGATTTTAACATTTTATTTAGTAATTTAAAACCTTTTTTTCCTTTTTTTTATTATACTTTAATTTCTGGGGTACATGTGCAGATCTTGCAGGATTGTTACATAGGTATACACATGCCATGGTGGTTTGTTGCCTCCATTCCCCCATCCCCCACATTAGGTATTTCTCTCAATGTTATCCCTCTCCAATCTCCCCACCCCCTGCTATCCCTCCCCAGCGCCCTACCCACCATCAGACATCATTGTGTGATGTTCCCCTCCCTGTGTCCATGTGTTCTCATTGTTCAACACTCGCCTATGAGTGAGAACATGCAGTGTTTGGTTTTCTGTTCTTGCATTAGTTTGCTGAGAATGATGGTTTCCACATTCATCCATATCACTGCAAAGGACGTGAACTCACCCTTTTTTATGGCTGCATGGTATTCTATGGTGTATATGTGCCACATTTTCTTTATCCAGTATATCATTCATGGGCATTTGAGTTGGTTCTAGGTCTTTGCTACTGTGAAGAGTGCTGCAATGAACATACGTATGCATGTGTCTTTATAATAGAATGATTTATAATCCTTTGGGTATATACCCAGTAACAGGATTGCTGGGTCAAATGGTATTTCTATTTCTAGATCCTTGAGGAATCGCCACACTGTCTTCCACAATGATTGAACTAATTTATACTCCCACCAACAGTGTAAAAGCATTTCTGTTTCTCTACATCCTCTCCAGAATCTGTTGTCTCCAGATTTTTTAATGATTGCCATTCTAACTGGTGTTGGATGGTATCTTAATATGGTTTTGATTTGCATTTCAATAAAAGCTATTTACGACAAACCCACAGATAATATCATACTGAATGGCAACAACTGGAAGCATTCCCTTTGAAATCTGGCAGTAGACAAGGGTGCCCTCTTTCACCATTCCTATTCAACATAGTATTGGAAGTTCTAGCCAGAACAATCCGGCAAGAAAAAGAAATAAAAGTATTCAATTAGGAAAAGAGGAAGTCAAATTGTCTCTATTTGCAGATGACATGATTGTATATTTAGAAGACCCCATCGTCTCAGCCCAAAATCTTAAGATGATAAGCAACTTCAGCAAAGTCTCAGGATACAAAATTAATGTGCGGAAATCACAAACTGTGCACTCTCTTTACATCTCTTCACCAAAGACATAGTACTTGGCCAGTTATAAAGACTAACAATGCAATTTGACTAAATGTACCTTTTCACTGTGATTCCAGGGCCAGCTTTTAGACCAAATATATAGGCCATGTGACCTTCCCTGACGCTGTGTTTGTCAGTCCACTCAAATGTCTTTTTCTGTCTGAAGTCCATGTTCTGTCCCATACTGTAAGTTGCTGTAGTTTCCTAGGGCTGACAGAACAAATTACCACAAACTAGATGGCTTCAAGCAACAGAAATGTATTATCTTACAGTTCTGGAGGCTGGGGTCTGAAATCAAGATGTTGGCAGGACCATCCTTCCTCTAAAGGCTCTTGGGAATAATTCTTCCTTGCCTCTTCCCTGCACCTTGTGGCTTCAGCAGTTCCTGGCATTCCTTGGTTTGTAGCTGCATCATGTCAGTCATGGCCTTCTTATCCTTGTGTCTCCTGTCCCTTTGTATCCTGTTCTTTTCTCACATGCTTTCTCTTTTGTTTAGAAACAGGATCTTACTCTGTCACCAAGGCTGGAGTGGCATGATCATAACTCACTGCAACCTCAAACTCCTGGGCTTAGCAATCCTCCCTTCTCAGCCTCAGCCTCTTGAGTAGCTGGGGCTACTAGAGGTGCATGTTACCATGCCTGGCTACTTTTTCCATTTTTTGTAGAGATAGGGTCTCACCTCTCCTTCTTTGGATTTAAGGCTGATCCTAATCTAGTATGACCTCATCTTCACCTGAGTACATCTGGAAAGTCCCTATTTCCAAAGTCACATTCACAGTTACCAGGAGTTACGACTTGAATGCATTTTTTTGTGAGCCACAGTTCAATGCACTCCTATTATCTACTGCTGTGTAACAAATTACACTAAAATGTAGTGGTTAAAATAACAGACATTTATGATCCTGGGTCAGGAATCTGAGTGCTGCTTAACTGGGTACCTCTGCCTCAAGGTTACAGTCCAGCCTTGAACTAGAGCAGCAGTCTCATCTAATAGCTCTACTTGGGTGGGAGCATCTCCCTCCATGACCAGCCACTCGATTGGTTGATTTGGCAATTTTAACACGTTGATAGTCAAATTTCGAGGAAATGATTAACAGGAAAACTGAAGAGGAAGGTATTGGCTTCTATGCTGGCACCTGAGGCAAAGTAAGGAAATGGAGAGACCATTTCCTTACTTTTTAATTGCTTTTTTCCCACCTGTTCCACTGACCATTGCTAAGCCTGTGGGAGAGTTGGATGGAGGGGGCATAAGTAACACTACTTAAAATCACAAGATCTCTTGGGTACTATAAGGCTTTGTGTAAGGGTGCAGATTGGTGGTCAGAGGCCAAATACAGCTTACAGTTGTGTTATCTTTAGCCTGAACAGTGACGTAAAGAATTTTTAGTTTCCAACATTTGAAAATTAGGAAATTTCACATAAAAATCAAACTTCCTAACTTCTGTCATAAGAAAAATATGGAAACATACAGTACCGTTGCATAGGACTACATACACTACCTAGCTCACTACAGTTTGCATCCGACTGCTGCATTTATCTGCATGCTTCTTAGAGGCATTGGTTCACGAGTTCTACTCTAGTCTCAGTGGCAAGGCATAGCCAGTGCCTACATTGCAGGATCAGATATTCCCAAAATAAATATTTATTATTTTGGAGATCAGGTTGGCTCTGTTGCCTAGACTGGCGTGATCTCAGCTAATTGCAACCTCTGTCTTCTGGGCTCAAGTGACCCTCCCACCTCAGCCTCCCAAGTAGCTGGGACAACAGGCACATACCACCATGCCTGGCTAATTTTTTTTTTTTTTTTTTTTGAGACGGAGTTTCGCTGTTGTTACCCAGACTGGAGTGCAGTGGCACGATCTCGGCTTGCCACAACCTCCGCCTCCTGGGTTTAAGCAATTCTCCTGCCTCCACCTCCCTTAGTAGCTGGGACTGCAGGCACGCACCACCATGCCCAGCTAATTTTTGTATTTTTAGTAGAGTCGGGGTTTCACCTTGTTGACCAGGAGGGTCTCAACCTTTTGACCTCATGATCCACCCGCCTCGGCCTCCCAAAGTGCTGGGATTATAGTCGTGAGCCACCACACCCGGCCAATTTTTGTATTTTTTGTAGAGACAGGTTTTTGTCATGTTGCTCAGGCTGGTCTTGAACTCCTGAGCTCAAGTAATCCTCCCGCCTCAGCTTCCCAAATTGCTGGCATTACAGGCGTAAGGCATTGCACCCAGCCTGCAATAATATTTTTTTCTGGTATCAAACCCAATTTTAAATTCCATCTTTTTAGTAACTAGCAGTCATATTTTAAAATTTATGATCACTTATTAATTTATCAAATATTTATTGGGGAGCTAGTATGTGCAAGGTGCTATGCTAGATTCTGGGAATATTGAGACAAACAAGCCAGATGTGGCCCCTGTCTTTGTGGAATTTAACTTGTAATTTAAAATCAGTGCCTACGTTTTGAAACTATTTAAATTACCAAAAATAAAGTCTGAGCCGGGTGTGGTGGCTCATGCTTGTAATCCTAGCACTTTGGGAGGCCAAGGCGGGTGCATCACCTGGAGTCAAGAGTTCGAGACCAGCCTTGCCAACAAGGTGAAACCCTGTCTCTACTAAAAATACAAAAAATTAGCCAGGCATGGTGGCAGACACCTGTAATGCCAGCTACTTGGGAGGCTGAGGCAGGAGAATCACTTGAACCTGAGGGACAGAGGATGCAGTGAGCCGAGATCACGCCACTTTACTCCAGCCCGGGCAAAAGAGCCAAACTCTGTCTCAAAAATAAATAAATAAAGTCTGAGATTTACAGTTTTAAAATGAGTACTATTTAAACACCATGTTTTGTTCTACAGTAAAGTTCTAAGTAGATTTTGTATCATTGACTATTAATTTTTCTGTTTTTCTCCCTTGCAGGAGAAATGCTCTCATATGGAGACAGGCAAGAGGTGGAAATCAGAGGGTGCTCGCTTTGGTGTGTTGAGCTGATCCGGGATTGTCTTCTGGAGCTTATTGAACAAAAGGGTGAAAAACCTAATGGAGAGATCAACTCCATTCTTCTGGATTATTACTTATGGGACTATGCTCGTGACCATAGGGAAGATATGAAAGGAATTCCATTTCATCGCACACGTTGCATATATTATTGACCTCAAGTGTAAACTGATCCAAAGAAAACCCCTTGCATTTTTCTTTTCTTTTCATTTTTCTTTTTTTTGTGTGTGTGTTTTTTTTTTTTTTTTGGTGCTGTGATTCAGATAACCTCCTGCATTTTTATATCATAATCTGTACATTTTGCTTTGACATTTAAAGAACATGATAGAGGTTATAGGAATGAGGAAATTGATTACCCATTCTCCCTTATGGTTCAGGGGGCCTCGGTCAGCAGCACGGGGTGCTTCTCCGGGGCCACACGCAGCTCGTTGTAAAAAGTGTGGTGCCAGATTTTCTCCATGTCATCCCAATTGGTGACGATGCCGTGCTCGATGGGGTACTTCAGGGTCAGGATGCCACGCTTGCTCTGGGCCTCATCGCCCATGTAGGAGTCCTTCTGGCCCATGCCGACCATCATGCCCTGGTGCCGAGGGCGCCCAACAATGGAGGGGAACACAGCTTGGGGAGCGTCGTCCCCAGCAAAGCCAGCTTTGCATGTGCCGGAACCATTGTCGATGACGAGTGCAGCAATTTCTTCTTCCATTGCGACCAGCGGCAGAGGAGTAGGGCAGCGGAGCAGCGAGAGAACACTACGTGAGCTGGCAGCGGCGACTCTTTAGGTTTCTTTTTCTCTCTAGCGGAGTAGACTGAATACATTAACAGCTTATCTGTCTTAACAGACAATAGGAAGAAAGAGGGCTTAATGATGCCTGTGACACAGCTATCTGTCCATTTCATGGATTACACACTTTATATTGAGTACCATTATATAAACAGGTTCCTTTCTGTGTCCCTGTACATTTATGAGAACTGTTGGACAAAAGAATGGCAGTAACTTTTACGCTTTACCTGGTGTACATACTGAAGGCATTCTTTAAAATTAATGCTCCTACTGTACAAGTCTAAATATTAAGAACAAATCCTACGATGAATTTCCTCATGCTTCGGCCATGTGTGGACCAGCCAGCTTCTAGGACATGGCTGGAGCAAGGCTTGTTGTCCTTTTTAAGGTGATTCTGCAGTTTTTGCCTTGGTCCAAGTCTCAGGTGTTGCTGGTTTTTACACGGCTGTGGTGGATTCAGGCTGGGATTTCTTTTACTTTCATAGCTGTGGGATTGGTCAGGATCGGGTCTGAGGTCCTTTCTAATGTGGCTTTAGAGGGACTGTACTCCTGTCCTTTATCCACACATGATTACTTAATCTCTCCTCACTCCCGAGGAGTTTCTAGGAGTGCTTAGAGTAGGGGAGGGGGGCTTATGGTATAAGACTTCATAGGGGAATATCCTGTTTTTTTTAAAGGGGGTGCCTCTAATTTTGAATAACACTAAGGGAAGTGCCTGCATCTACTTTAATCTTGTTTTCCTGACACACTTTCTTTAAGCTGTTTTTGATGGTCTGATTCATTTTTCCACTTTTCTGGAACTCTGAGGTCGGTAGGCAGCATGCAGTTTCTGGGTGATACTAAGGGCATTGCTGTTTTCTGGACTAAATCCTCTACAAATGCTGGTCCGTTGTCTGATCTGATGCGCAGTGGCAGTCCAAACCTAGGGATAAGATCTCGAAGTAGCACACGGGCCTTTTCAGTCCTACTCAGAGTATGTACACACCAGGACTAATAAATGCCCCCCCTACACTTGGATATTTCAGTAAAGTCTACCTGGAGATCTTTAAACAGAGCTGCTCCATAAGCTTGAATGCCAGGGAGAATAGTTGGGACCCTGCTTCACGTTGTGTTGCCGACATGTAATGAATGCATCACTGTGCCACAGTTTTAGTTAAGACTGATAAGTGTAAGATGTAAAAGTACCGACCTAGCATCTTTTCAAGTGACTCTTGACCTAAACGAGTGGTCTCATGTATGGCTTGTACAACCGCTGCACATAGCGGGCCCTGGTATTTGGCAGGCTTACTAATGAGGTCTTTTGGTATTCATTAGAGTCACTGCTGTGTGGGGTGCTTTGATATTTAAATTTTTCCCAGAGTTGAGGCTAGAATCTTTGATTGCTATTTTTTTCTTTTTTTTTTTTTTTCTTTTTGACAGCATGAAAAGGCTGTGTATTAAAATCGGCTAACCTTAAAGCCAGGGCTAACAAAAGTCACTTTTAGCTTCTGCCTTATTCAAGGGGTGTCTTGTCTTTTCCCCTCCTCCCTTTGTCACTGTGTGTAAGGGTTTGGCCAGTACTGCAAAGTTTGGAAATCCATAATTTACAAAACTCACCACTCCTAGGAGCTCTCTTACTTGCTTTTTCATCTCAGGTTCTGTTACTTTGCAAGCGGCTTGCTTCCTGTCTGCTTCTAGGCTGCATTTCCTCTTCCGGATGGTGAGCTTCAGCTATTGCATTTGCTTTTCGGCAAATCAGGGCTTTCCTTTTAGACACTTAATACCCACAGTCCTCCAGGTGCCGAAGTAAGGCATTTGTTTGTGCACCCAACTGCTGTGGGGTTTCCTAATAGAAGGTTGACAGCATACGGAGACAGCATGCAAGCAAGAAGCTTCTGGGGGATGGTCACAGGCTGATGCCTCCCCATCGATGATGAGTTTCTCAGCCCCTGGAAAGCTGGGTTCAGGTGCATTGAGTGGTTACACTTGCTTCTGGGTTTCTCTCATTGAAATGCAAAGAGTTTTTGATCTTCCAAGGCTAGTCTAATGCTAAGGAGGTATTCTTTAAGTCCAATTAAGTGAACTAACAATCCGCTGCTGGCAAGAATCCCAACTGCGTGTGTAAGTTGGGTGCAAAGCCACGCAAACCCTGCACTGACCTGGGCGATAATATTAGTCTTCTGCTTCTGGCTAGGAACTCTCTACCCTCCTTCCCAAGGGACAGTGAGAGCTTGGCTGACCCCTGACTCAGGCAGTTTTAGCTGCAGGTAGTCTCCTTTGTTGAATGGGATAGTGGCCCTCGATTTGCACAACAGGTTTTGCTGGAGAAGGGGGCAGGGGCAATTCATTAAGTACAAGAAAGTCTGTCCTCTTAACACTTTAATAGATTTAACAACACTGGCTTTGTTCCTTTCGATGGGAGGGGTTACAGTGCTGTCGTCTGGACCTGGGCTCTTTGGGGGCATGAGTCTGGCCCCCCTCTTTTAGTCCAGTGGCCCTTCCATTAGATTGAACACAGCCCCTTCAAGCTCATTTAGATCCTCCTGCTTAGGATCGTCCTGTTCCTTAGTTAACTGTGGACATTTTTTCTTCCAGCGTTCTATTTCTCAACAGAATGCACACTGCATTGCAGGCCCGGGCGGGCAGACTGGGGGGGTTTCTAGGAACTCCCTTTTTCTTTACTCTTGGGGGTTCTGGTAATCTGAAGGAACATGCTCCTCCAGCCAATTAGAAGCAGCTTGGGAGTATTCTCCGCCTTTCGTCTGTGTTAAAAAAGATGCATAAGCAGCTGATGGGTGGGTGGACGGACGAGTGGACCTGCTAGGTCCCAGAAGTCGGGCGTTGTCAGCAGCTAGTCCTGGTCGGGAACCACTTGAGAGATGGTTGTTGTGTCAAAGAGGGTGCTCAGCAGCGCGTTGTTGTGAAACGTCATGTCCAGCAGTTGCGGAGTGATGGTCCTCTCTCCGTTGTTGTGGGCCTCATTGCCTGCCAGCTCCAGGATCTGGGCCGTCAAGTACTCTATCACTGCAGTGAGGAAGACTGGTGCGGAGGGACTCAGGCGCTGGGCGTAGTGGCCTTCCTGTAGGCTACGCTCCACCTCCCTCACAGAAAACAAAACGTCCACCCGGGCGGAGTTTTTTTACATTCTCTTTTGTCTGCTTTGGAGGATTTTAGGGGTGTGCAGCTCTGGTGGGAATGCCGAGGCCTCCGGCCCAGGGACAGGGAGTCCTTGAGGAGGAGGAGGAGGCATTATCGACAGAAACTATTCTGCCGCTGGGTCGACCAAAACTTTGGGAGTTGTCTCTGCTAGGACCTTGAGATTCTGCATATCTTGGCGGCGAGGGGGATGGTGGTTTCTAGCAGTCTGTCCTTTGGCTACTAAAACAGTTGCTACCTGCTCTTTCTGCCACTTCGGAGGGTTTAACACTAACTGCAACTACGAGTCTATGTATGGAAATTGATCAAGGTGTTCTAGCTCGCTATATGTAACCTCATGCCTTATTCTGGAGACAAGGACCTGTCTAGGGTCCCCTCTGGGGGCCAACCGACTTCAAATGCTGGCCAATCTTTCTTACATAAAGCCTTTAATTTCTCTGGTGTCATAGTTACTTTATAATTTCTACTAAATCCTTTCATGAAATGTTTCAGCATGGTTTCTAAAGGGGTGGGCTTGCTATGGGAGTGACCTATTTTAACACTTCAAAGAAACAATTCTTACCGTTAGGAGAGTGCTAGTTTACTCACCACAGTTCTGCCTAGCAAGACGCAGCCTGGAGCACTCTCTGATTTACATTCACTTCAGTCTTTTTATAATTGCCTAGAGGCTTCTTCACCTAAGCTTTCTGTGGCTGTCTTTAATTCTTATAAATTGCTCGATGCATGAGGCCCTTCCTAATGGGCCTGATACCTTTTATGACTGATGAGTCCGGTCGGACACATCTACACACACAGACACACATTCAATTGTTCTCCTTCAATTTAAAATTTTAAGTAAAAGTTTTTAAGGTTATAGAGAGCTACTTTTTAACGTGCCAATCTGGCACTTGTGGGTGATCAGGTTACGCTTCTATTTAAAATGGGGTGGGCTATTTTCCTGGGGACACACATCTAATTGCTCTCTCTCTAATTTAAAACTATAAGCAAAAGCTTCTAAGGTTACAGAGAGAGCTACTTTCTAACGTGCCTATCTGGCACCCGTGGGTGATCAGGCCATGCTTCCACCCAAAATGGGGTGGGCTACTTTCCCGGGGACACACATCTAATTGCTTTCCCTCTAATTCAAAACTATAAGCAAAAGCTGCTAAGGTTACAGGGAGAGCTACTTTCTAACGTGCCGATCTGGCACCCATGGGTGATCAGGCCACGCTTCCACCTAAAATGGGGTGGGCTACTTTCCCGGGTTCTCTTCTCTTACAAATTGCTCAATGACACAGACACACCTACACACACAGACACACATCACACCTACACACACAGACACACATCCGATTGCTCTCCCTCTAATTTAAAACTATAAGCAAAAGCTTCCAAGGTTATAGAGAGCTACTTTTTAGCGTGCCGATCTGGCACCTGTGGGTGATCAGGCCACGCCTCCACCCAAAATGGGGTGGGCTACTTTGCCAGGTTCAATCTGACTACATTCAGTGTCCAGACTTCCCTAAATATTCGTTCCTCCTCGGTGTTCAGCCACTGGGTGGATCGACATTGCAGGGCCTCCTTGCTCTGCTCTGGCAAGGCTTTTCCACCAGGCAAACACCTGCCCGGGAGCGCTCTCAGGATGTGTCACCCCAGCGAGCAGGAGTCCCCCTGCAGGGATGCTCCACAGGGCCAGGCAAACTACCTAAGAGACTTTTGCCTGCCGTCTGCTATCCAAGACTTGCTTCCCGGCCAACGCACCAAAATGTAGCAGGAGCGGCTGCGGGAAAGGATCTCTTGGACACCGAATACTGGAGGAAGAAATTTATTTCAGCTGGGAGCAAGGTGGCATAGGTGTTTAACAGCCAAGCTCTTCTAACAAAGGGAGGTTCAGCCTTTACATAGGCTTATACTTTAGATGTTACACGTGGAAGAATCTTAGGTTCATAGTTTTAGGACTCACATGTGAAAAGGTTTTAGTTTACACTTTCAGGAATTACATATGAAAGGGTTCCGGTTTACAGTTTTAGGACTCACATGTGAAAAGGTTTCTGGTTTCATCTTGTTTTAAGTAAAAATAGTGCCTTGTGGAGAGTTTCCCCAAGGCCTAGACTGTTGTTTTCAGGAAGCAGATTCAGGAGGTGCCAGCTGGCCTGCTCTCTCTTTTATTGAGATGCACAGAGGATGACAGAGGGGGAGGGAATCCCAAATGCCTGGATCTCCCTCCTCAGCTGCAGTGAGCCATAGCCATGCCACTGCACTCTACCCTGGGCAACAGAGGGAGACCCTGTCTCAAAAAAAAAAAAAAAAAAAACCCCGCAGAAAGTTCCTGACATGTCACTGTGTATTCCCAACTTTATCATTTTTCTGCCTGTTTAGTTTTAGCTTATATTTTTATTTTCTGTGGACATGTAGTTGACAGAAATAAGGAACTTTAATATTTTCTTTAAATTTCCTAAAACTATGTCTTATGTGATTAATCTTCAGTGATAATATTTTATCTATTGATATCTTTTCTTGAGGTGTAGTAATTTTTAGTATGCCTTAATCATGTGGTATAAAAAAGGTTAGGTTTTTGATGTATGAATGCTGTCCTTGTAAAAATCAATCTTGACACTTTAAACTTATTATTGGTAATGATAGTGGGTTTTGTATATCATGATTTTCAATGTAGGACATCTGTTTGTCTAATTTTGTTTGTTTGTTTGTTTGTTTTGTTTTGAGACGGAGTCTTGCTCTGTCACCAGGCTGGAGTGCAGTGGCGTGATCTCGGCTCACTGCAACCTCCGCCTCCTGGGTTCAAGCGATTCTTCTGCCTCAGCCTCCCGAGTAGCTGGGACTACAGGCGCGCACCACTATGCCCAGCTATTTTTCTTGTATTTTTAGTAGAGATGGAGTTTCACCATGTTGGCCAGGATGGTCTCAATTTCTTGACCTCGTGATCCGCCTGCCTCAGCCTCCCAAAGTGTTGGGATTACAGGCGTGAGCCACCGTGCCCAGCCTTAATTTGTTTTTTTAGAGTAACTATAATGGAATTGAATAAAAATATTGAATATTTTTCTTAAACCTGGAATGGATTATTTCATTAAAATAGAATTTACCATATATAATTTTTAAAAAGCTTACTGTAAGTTAGATTATTTATATCTTCTGTTGCAGAACTCTCATTACCTGTCAAGCACTCATTTCCAACCACCACCCCCACATTCCTTCTAACAGAATCTTGATTTTCTTAGACCTTGTCTGCTTGCTGTGACTTGAAAAAAAAATAAGGAAAAGACCCTTTTCCCAAGCAATTCACTGCCATCTGCTGGAAGCTTGTCATAATAACCTTACAAATGACAATAGGAGTGAGGCCTCCTGGAGTTGTGCGGTACACAACTTGCACAACCACAGCAGTGGTCCTATGTCTGTCCCTGTCCTGTGTGACTCGGGATGGTGATTCTATCTCCAGTTCTGGAGTTAGATCTTGTATGGTATGAATGGTTTACTACTCCTGGTCACCTTATTCTCCTTGCCTGTGATTGCTTTGGTAATGGGTATATAATCTAGTTCTGGCCAGTGACACTGGATAGCAAGTCTGCTGGGAAGCTTCTAGAAAAGGATTCTTATAAGAAAGAGATATAGGAAAAGGGTCCCTTTTCTTCCTCTGAGCAATGCTTTTAGCATAATACTTGCTATTATGGTAGCTATTTTATAGAGCTAGAGCCCAGCTGTACCTTCCATGCCTAAGCCCATCCATCCATGGACTTCATACTTGAGTTAATAAACACATTATAACTTGTACCAGAAAGCATCTTAACAGTTTGCAATGTAACCTCTGGGCCTCTGCTTTTGCCACCCTTCCTGCACCTCTCCCTGTCTTCCCTTCCCCCTTTCCCTCTTCTCCCTTTACTTCTCTGCCCTCTTCCTTCTTCCTCCCCTTTTCCCCACCCCCTTCTTTATCCTCTCCTCTTACTTCATTCTTTCTTTCTCTCTCTCTCTCTTTTTTTTTTTTGAGATGGAGTTTCACTCTTGTTGCCCAGGCTGGAGTGCAATGACACGATCTCGGCTCACTGCAACCTCCGCGTCCTGGGTTCAAGCAGTTCTCCTGCCTCAGCCTCCCGAGTATCTGGGATTATAGGCATGCTGCCACGATGCCCGGCTAATTTTTGTATTATTAGTAAAGATAGAGTTTCATCATGTCGGCCATGATGTTTGGTCTTGAACTCCTGACCTAAGGTGATCCACCTGCCTCCCAAAGTGCTGGGATTACACAGGTGAGACACCACACCCGGCCTTTTTTTTTTTCTTAGAGATGGTCTCACTGTCACCCAGGCTGGAGTATAGTGGTGAGATCATAGCTCACTGTAACCTTGAACTCCTGGGCTCAAGCAATCCTCCCAAAGTGCTGGGACGTGCAGGCGCATGCCACTACATCGGGCTAATTTTTTAAACTTTTTGTAGAGATGGGGTTTCACTATGTTGCCCAGGCTGGTCTCAAACTTCTGGGCTCAAGTGATCCTCCTACCACTGGCCTCTAAAAGCACTGAGATTACTGTGAGCCATGGTTTCCTAGATCCACCTGCCTTTTCTCTTCTGCCACTGCCATAACCTGGACTCACAATCCTGGATGTCTGCATTCTAATCTAGGCAGCAGGATTGAAGAAGTAATGAAGAGTATAAAAAAAGGGTTGAAGCTGGGTGCAGGGGCTGTCTCCTATGGTCGCAGCTACTGGGTGGTGGGGAGGAACTGACATAGGAGGATCCCTTGAACATGGGAGTTTATGTCCAGTCTGGGCAACATAGTGAGATACAGTTTCTTAAAAAAAAAGTGTTGAAAGGCTCTGGTAGCCACTACATTCCATTTTGGCACATGACCACAACTAACTGCCAAGTAGGGTAGGAAAGTGGCATGTATTATGGGCACTGGGTACCAGCTAAACTGTGTAAATAGAAATGGATGGGCCTAGGCACAGTGGCTCATTCCTATAATCCCAGCACTTTAGGAAGCCAAAGCGGGCATGATCGCTTGAGCCTGGGAGGTCGAGACTGCAGTAAGTAGTGATTGCCACTGCACTTCAGCCTGAGCAACAGAGTGAGACCCCAGTCTCAAAAGAATAAAAAAGTATGGATGGATACTGGGAAACAGCAAGAAGTTTTTGCCACCCAGTGCATGGATTTTATAATTTTCTTACCTGATACAGACTAAGAGCACTAAAATAACATTTTATCTAATGGCTTTAACAGCCATCGGTGATCATTTTTCACATCTATTATTTCATTAGGGATTGCAAAATGGTAATGTTCTAGTCCTAACATTTTGGTTTTTGGGGATTTGTGTGGGGATAACATCCCTCTCGGATTTCAGGGTAGTCTGGGGGAACATAATTAACACAACATTCCAGAAGAGAATGGAATGTAGAATTAAGTTCTGAAAGTGTTTTTAGTTGTGTTGATTCATTCTGCACACCCTTTTAAAGATAATGAAAATGTACACAGCCTCCTGAAACCCCCTTGCACAGCCCTCCATTCAGAGAAGTCCTTTCTAATTCCTTGGTGACTTGGTTTCCTTTAGCAGCCTTTGATTTGCCGCCAGTTATAAAATGTTTTGTTTTGCATACAAATTTCAATTATTTTTCTTAAGTGGCCTCCTAATGATTTGCCTCCCTCTGCAGACTCAAGTTGTTTAGCCAAGGCACCTTGTCAGTGCCTTCCAACCAAAGTAAACAGGTTAGATGTATTACTTGTAGCATGGGGTGTCTCAGTAGGAGGATTATTTGGGGCAGGGTCTAAGGAAACTATTCTGTTGAGATTGGATACTGTCAGAAAGCAGGATCAGTTCTACCACTGGTTGCTCTACCATTGGCTGCCTCAAATTTTACCTATAGGGAGGGCAGACAAGAGCAAGGATAAAGCTGTCATTTGTAAAGAAGTTAGCAGTCACTCATTTTAGTAGAGATAGGATGTTTGGGCACTTTGTTTGGCACAGTGGTCCTGTACTTGTCTGTGCTTAGGCAAAATTCTGAAGTGGCCTTATTTAGGCTTACTTTATCAGGGTCTCTGAGTAACCTTTGTGATGTTAGTGTTCTGTGAGATTATGTCCAACAGAAGACTAACATGCAGACTAAGCAGGCCAGCTTTTTATCAGGGGCTGCTTTTTTTCCTTTCTTAACTTTAAACTTCCCCCTGATTAGCACCAAAGCAAATTAATAGATTTCATTTCATTAAATTAAGAGATCCTGTATTGAACTTCCTCACAGTGTCCCCTCCCCTGAAGTTGAATGGATAATGGCTTAATAATCTGGTTGGCACCCCAGTCTGCCCCAGATGCAGATTTAATGACTGTATATGACTTAGGGAATCAGCTTTGAGGCAACTAGACCTTGCTTTTCCTTGCAACTCTATGACCCATCTTGCTTTAGGTGTGCTTGGACTTTTTTTTTTTTTTTGCTTTAGTTTAAAATTTCCAGCTTTTTGGTGGGTGCTATAGTAAAATACAAAACCTGAACAAGTAAGGGAATTGATCTTATTCAGGCTATTACAATAAAAAAAGCATTCCAAATCCAAAGATCAGAGTCTCTTGGCAGGGTGGTTTTGCCTTAGACTTTTATAGGGAGGAGTATACAAGTTACAGGTGGAAGACTTACAGGTGGGATTGTTTTGCAATCAGAAGTCTCAGTTGCCAAACACGAAGTATTTATCTCTGTGTCATGCTGGTTTTGGGTGGACAAAGAGTTCTAATATAGAGACAAAGAATGGAGAATTGGGCTGGGCACGGTGACTCACGTCTGTAATCCCAGCACTTTGGGAGGCCAAGGTGGGAGGATCACTTGAGCCCAGGAGTTCAATACCGGCCTGGGCAACATAGCAAGATCCTGTCTCTAAAAAAAAAAAAAAAAAAAAATTGTAAAAAAGAATGAAGAATTGAAGGGTCTGTGTCTGGTCTTGTCCCACTGGGATGGGATAATCTCATGGAATCCCATATAACACCATAGTGTATGTAGTTCATGGGTGACCAAAACATTGTTATGTGATCCATGCGTGTAACTTGTAAAATTCCTTGCAGGTTTACAATTTATTGACTAAACAATTGGAAGTTTGGAGAAATATATTGTGCCATTCAGCTAAATTACTCTTTTTCCCATACACTGTTATCTCTTTACCTTTTTGTTTTGGTTTATCCCTTTGGGTTAAGGATATTTTAGTTTTAAATGAAAGAAACCAAACTAAAACTAGCATAGTGAAAAAGCAATTGTAATGATCAACAAAATAAGCCTAGAAAAGTAAATAAATAAATAAATAAACAATAAAAAAAAAATAAGCCTAGGGGTAGAGCTGCCCTTAGCCATGATCATGCAGCTAGTTACTGTCAAGAAATTAAAATGCAAAGTTACAGTTTCGGGATTAAAATCCACACCTCATATTTCTTTTTGCTCCTTGAAAGAGATGATTTTAACATCTGGTGATTCCAGGAAACAGTGCAAATCACTGTCAACAGGTCAAGCAAAAATCAGTGGCTTGGCTGAGGAGCCTGGTTTGGGTCCTAGGTCCCCAACCCTGGTCTGGGAGCAAGGGCCATGTGATTGGCTGGCCTACCAGGCAGATCAGGGTTAGTTCTTAATGGAAAAAAAGGTCTGCTAGCAGAAAGGAAAGGGATGGTGGGCAGCCAAGACAACTTTGCTTCCAATACCTTCATATGTTCAGAAGTTTTCAGCAGGGGGATCATTTCAGATTGGGAGCTGTTGAAAAACAGCCAAGGAGAGGCTATTTTCCGAGTTGATCCAAAGAAAGCACTAATCCTAGGCCAGACGTGGTGGCTCACACCTGTAATCCCAGCATTTGGGAGGCTGAGGCAGGCAGGTGGATCACTTGAGGTCAGGAGTTTGAGATCAGCCTGGCCAACATGGCGAAACCCTGTCTCTATTAAAAAATACAAAAAATTAGCTGAGCGTGGTGACACACACCTGTAATCCCAGCTACTTGGAAGGCTGAGGCAGGAGAATCATTTGAACGCGGGAGGCAGAGGTTGCAGTGAGCTGAGATTGTACCATTCTACTCCAGCCAGCCTGGGCAATAGAGCCAGACTTCATCTCAAAAAAAAAAAAGAAAGCACTAATCCAACTTCCTGTCTAGCAACTCTCTCCCTTTCTTCATTATTCCCATTTCACTACTCTCAGGATAGACTAAGAGTCAGTTGATATAGAAAACTAATCAGTATTCGGTTGCAGGAGTAGAATGCAATTATTAAGGCTCAATAGCTTTGTTGTTTTAAAAAAAGTGTTGCTTTATTTTTTAGAGACAGAGTCTCACTCTGTCACCTAAGCTGGAGTGCAGTGGTGTGATCATGGCTCACTGCAGCTTCAACCTTCTAGGCTCAAGAACCTCAGCCTTCCAAGTAGCTGGGATTATAGGCATGCACCACCACGCCTGGCTAATTTTTATTTTTTGTAGAGATAGAGTCTCACTAGATTGCCCAGGCTGGTCTCAAACTGCTGGCTTTAAGCAATCCTCCTGTCTCAGCCTTCCAAAGCATGAGCCATTGTGCCCAGCCAAGGCTTAATAACTTTGATGAAGCCTGAGTCAATGTGAAAAGAAACAAATAGGTCACAATGGTATTTACTGAGAAGCCTAGAAATACTTACTTTGAGAACTGAAAATAGTATTTTGAAAACAAGTAAAAAAATATTTAAAAACTGTAGTTCATACTCACCCTCCACCACACACATGCTCAAAAAAAAATCCATATTGTTTAACTTTGAAGGTTGGTAGGAACCAATTTGTTATTTTGAAAAAATGATAAATAAAAAGAAAAAAGTGTGTATTCTTTAATTCCTGTATTAACTGCATTTCAGGATAACCTGATAGAGGAAAAACTCTTTTTTATAGAAGAATACCAGCTAATGCATGCAAAAAGGAATATTAGAACATTACCATTGCGTAATCCTTAATGAAATAATAGAACTGGGAAATGATCATCAATGGCTACTAAGTAAAATGTTGATGAGGAACTTTTTTTTTTTTTTTTGAGACGGAATCTCCTTCTGTTGCTTAGGCTGGAGTGCAGTGGTGCCATCTTGGCTCACTGCAACCTCCGCCTCCCAGGTTCAAGCGATTCTCTTGCCTCAGCCTCCTGAGTAGCTGGGACTATAGGCGTGTGCCACCATACCCAGCTAATTTTTATATTTTTAGTAGAGACAGGGTTTCACCATGTTGGCCAGACTGGTTTCAAATTCCTGACCTTAAGTGATCTGCCCATCTTGGCCACCCAAAATGCTGGGATTACAGGCCTAAGCCACCATGCCCAGCTGATGAGGAACTTTTTAATGGGTGGATTACACTGAAAAACATCTGCACTCAGCCAGGCACGGTGGCTCATGCCTGTAATCCAGAACTTTGGGAGGCCAAGGCGGGCAGATCATGAGGTCAGGAGTTCAAGACAAGCCTGGCCAGCATGGCAAAACCCTGACTCTACTAAAAATACAAAAAATTAGCTGGGCATGGTGGCAGGCACCTGTAATCCCAGCTACTCGGAAGGCTGAGGCAGGAGAATCACTTGAACCTGGGAGGCGGAGATTGCAGTGAGCCTGGATCACGCCATTGCACTCCAGCCTGGGCAACAATGTGAGACTCCATCTCAAAAAAAAAAAAAAAAAGAAAAGAAAAACATCTGTATTCATTTATAATCTTAAAATCACCAAAAGCAGGATATGCAGACATTATATGCTTCCTGGTGTGTTGCAATAGGAAGTATATAGCCCCATCTACGAATTATTCTTGCCAGAATTGAACCTGAATCTAATCAAGGATCTAAATCTAACTTACTAGTTTACAGGAAATGTAGGAAACAGAGGAACAAGTTAAATGAAAATACAGGATATGGTCAGCCAGTTCTAAAGTATGAGGAATCCTATAGGACAAATGGCAGCTTCTTTCTTTCTTTTTCCTTCCCTTCCTTCCTTCCTTCCTTCCTTCCTTCCTTCCTTCCTTCCTTCCTTCCTTCCTTCCTTCCTTCCTTCCTTCTCTCTCTTTCTCTCTCTGTCTCTCTCTCTCTCTCTCTCTCTCTCTCTCTCTTTCTTTAAGACTGGGTCTCACTCTTGTCACCCAGGCTGGAATACAGTGGCATGATCACAGTTCACTGTGGCCTCAACCTTCTGGGCTCAGTCAGTCCGCGCACCCTCAGCTTCCCAAGTAGCTAGGACTACAGGCACATGCTACCATACCCAGCCAATTTTGAAATATTTTGTAGAGACAGGGTCTCCCTTTGTTGCCCAGGCTGGTCTTAAACTCCTGGCCTTAAGCCTTCTTCCCACCTCAGCCTCTCAAAGTGCTGGGATTACAGGTGAGAGAGAGCCACCACACTCGGCCTCTTCCTCCTCTTCAAATGACACTAATTCCATCATGGGGTTCAACCCTCATGATCTCATCCAAATCTAATTACCTCCTAAAGGCCCTACCTGCAAATACCACCACATTGCAGTTTAGGGTTTCAACACATGAATTCTGGGGAACACAAGCATTCAATCCATAGCAATACTCCCCAGACTGAAAAATTCTCAGAGATATTTATGCATACATGTTCATAGCAGCATAACTAACAATAGCCAAAAGGTGGAAACAACCCAAGTGACCAACAATGGATGAGTGAGTGGATAAACAAAATGTGATAAATACATACAATGGAATACAATTCAGCCTTAAAAAGGGAAGAAACTGGGCCGGGCGCGGTGGCTCAAGCCTGTAATCCCAGCACTTTGGGAGGCCGAGGCGGGTGGATCACGAGGTCAAGAGATTGAGACCATCCTGGTCACCATGGTGAAACCCCGTCTCTACTAAAGATACAAAAAATTAGCGGGGCATGGTGGCGCATGCCTGTAATCCCAGCTACTCGGGAGGCTGAGGCAGGAGAATTGCCTGAACCCAGGAGGCGGAGGTTGCGGTGAGCCGAGATTGCGCCATTGTACTGCAGCCTGGGTAACAAGAGCGAAACTCCGTCTCAAAAAAAAAGGGAAGAAACTATGATATACGTTACAATATGGATGAACCTTGAGGACATCACACTATGTGAAATAGTCACAAAAGAACTAATCTGTATGACTTGGCTTCTATAACCTAGAGTAGTCAAATCCATAGAGACAGAAAGAAGCATAGTGGCTGCTAGGGGTTAGGGAAAAAAATGGCAGAGTTATTGTTTAATGGGTATACAGTTTCAGTTCTCCAAGATGAAAGAGTTCTGGCGATTAGTTATACAACATTGTGAAGGTACTTAACTAATTTATTGATTTATTTATTTTTGAGACAGAGTCTTGCTCTGTCACCCAGGCTGGAGTGCAGTGGTGTTATCTCGGCTCACCGCAACCTCTTCCTCTCGGGTTCAAGCTATTCTCCTGCCTCAGCCTCCTGAGTAGCTAGAATTATAGGCATGTGCTACCATGCTTGGCTAATTTTTTGTATTTTTAGTAGAGATGGGGTTTTGCCATGTTAGCCAGGTAGTCTCAAACTCCTTACCTCAGGTGATCCACCCGCCTTGGCCTCCCAAAGTGCTGGGATTACAGGCATGAGCCACCATGCCAAGCCGATACTTAACCATTTAAAAGTGTACATACAGCTCAGCAGTGTTAAGATAGTCCATTTTGGCCGGGTGTGGTGGCTCATACCTATAATTCTAGCACTTTGGGAGGCTGAGGTGGGCGAATCACCTGAGGTTGGGAGTTTGAGACCAGCCTGACCAATACAGAGAAACCCTGTCTCTAATAATAATACAAAAATTAGCCAGGTGCGATGGCACATGCCTGTAATCCCAGCTACTTGGGAGGCTGAGGCAAGAGAATTGCTTGAATCCAGGAGGCGAAGGTTGGGGTGAGCCGAGATCGCACCTTTGCACTCCAGCCTGGGCAACAAAAGTGAAACTCCATCTCAAAAAAACAAAGGTCAATTTTATGTTATGTACATTTACCACAATTTTTTAAAGGTGAGGGCAATTATATTGATTAAAAGAGAAGGTGTTACGGGCACGGTGTCTCGCGCCTGTAATCCCAGCGCTTTAGGAGGTCAGAGGTTTGAGACCAGCCTGGCCAACATGGTGACACCCCGTCTCTACTAAAGATACAAA